CGCTGCGAGCTGAGTCAGGGCACACGCCGACCCCCCCGGGGACAGCAAGGACTGGGGACCCTCGGGACCTCTCCAGCAAAGCCTTTTCCTGTTGCGAGCTGCTGAGGCCACCCACGGCCAAAGGAGCTTGCCCGGATGGGCTAGGATGTCTCCGTGAAGGTCCCAGCACTGATGGGACCCTTCCCGTAGTAGGACACGGTGCCAGCCACCTGCAGAGTGGATGTCACCGCTGGTCACTGGGAAAGGGGGGGGGGGGGGGGGGGGGGGGGGGATGCAAACACCCACTCCCTTCTCATCGCCAGCAGTGTGGCTGGTTTTTTGCAAGTGGATGGAGCAGGGGCTGGGAGAAGCCGACAGCCAAATGCTGCCCACGCCCCGGCTGGAGAAGGATGCATGCAAAAAGCTGGTCAAGGGGGACACCTAGTGACCAGCCTGGGGGGGGGGGTCCCCAGGGCCAGGGATTGGGGTACCTCCCTGGGGCTGGGGGCTGCAGCCAGGCAGCGTTAGGGGAGGTGGGCTGCTGGGCTCTCATCTTCTGCAAACGGCGTGAGAAAGGTGTCCGAAAGGGTTTGCGCCGAGCCTGCACCATCCTTCCACCCCTGTGGCCAAGGAGAAAATGAGATTAAGGATTCATCCCTCCCTCAGCACAGAGCGATCCCCCAGAAACCCTACCTCTGCCAGCACTGGAGGGGTGAAATTAAACTTGCTAATGGACCATAAACTTGAAATTAGCATAACTAAAAGCGATTAGCATGAATACATAAAATAACCTGAATTACAAATAAAAGAGAGTTTGAAGAGTCTCCCTGGTTAAAGTCACTTTCCCTTAGGGGAAGCTATCTATTTTTTTCAACCCCATTATGTACTAGATTTGCAAATACAGTCTAGGAAAAAAATGCACATAATAATACTCCAGACACTTATTTTTGGGAGCATGAGCTGGGAAGGACATGCGGGGGAGTGGAGGCCCAAAGGGCTGAGCGCGGTCCTCAGCAGGGCCCGCTCTGATGGGGAGCCAGCACACTCCGGGGGCAGGGGGAGGCATCCGACAAATACTTTCCTGACAGAGCAATGATTTACCACAAAATAACACATTCCCAAAGAGTCTGACTGAGTACCGAGTGAGTTACTTCCAGAAACGTTGAATCATTCTGTCTGCATATAATGCATTGCTCTGAGAGAGAAAAGCATAGCACTAAAGCTAGTCTGTTGGTTGACAGGGACATTCACTTTGTATTGAATATTCACTCCAATATTAGAGATGTGCATGCATTTTTCCCAGTGGCATGGCTGTGGATGCATCACTCGAGCATTTTAAGTTCGCATAAAATGCAAACCCAAGACGTACCACAAGCAAAAAGCAAAACATTGAGGCTCCTTCCAAAGAAACCAGCAAATCTCCTTTTGAGCCATATCAAGGAAATCAAAGATGTGTTTGACACGTTCCTTGTGATTTTGTCGTTATCACTGCTGTCATCAACATATTCCCAGGAGTTGCTGCAGTTTTTTAAACACCCCTTTCTCCAGGCCTAGCTCAAGCCCAGATGATGATGGATAAGCTGCTAGGTTGCCTCTGGAGTTCATAACCCGACACCTAATAGAAGTCATAAAGTTAAAGGCTCGGGTAATGTCAGAAGGAGGGATGCCTCTGCCACGCCGGCACAACCACATCCTTCACTGAGCCCTCTCCTGCAGGATCCTGCCTGATGTTTTCCACAGGCTCCCCTCTTTCCAACCCTACAGCGAAGGGCTCAGCTCCTTCCCGCATCCTCTCAAACCTAAAAGCACAGCGGGGAGAGGCAGAAGGCTGAGCTGTATCTCTCCCTCCACTGAGGAAGGGATTCCTGAGCAATGGGAGGCAAATAAGCATTTGCTTTGTAGGGGTCCAGTATAGATTTATCATTTTTTGCATGTTTGGTTTGAGAAACCCCCAGCTTCATTTGCAGGAGAGCTGGCATGTTCCAGCTAGAGTTGCTTGAGTAGCTTTTTCTGTAATAAATGCTCTCCAGATAGCTAAAACAACAACGAAAAAAGCATCCTGTATCAGAGCAAAGAGCAGAAATGTGATCAGTTTTATACATTGAGGCTCCTTTGCCTCCTGGAGTCCCTTGGGAATACCTCGAGATTTTAACAATCATGCAAGCGGACATCATTCAGAAACGCCACAGGGAGAAGGCAAAACCCAGCCCCGCGCTCTGACAGCCGGGACGGCACATTTCAACAACGATTCTCAAAACCCATTTCCCGAGCAGCGCTGCTTCTTGTCTAAGAGCTGGAAGCTTTGTGAGGCTCTCCCGCTGCTCCACGCAGAGCTGGGGCTGCAAGGATGGGGTGCTGCTGCAAGGATGGGGTGCTGCTGCAAGGATGGGGTGCTCCTGCAAGGATGGGGTGCTCCTGCAAGGATGGGGTGCTGCTGCAAGGATGGGGTCCTCCTGCAAGGTGGCCGCTACCACCGGGACCGTCCCTTGCCCCCCTGCACCATCCCCCGGAGCGCTCCCGTGAACCCAGGTCCTCGCTGGCTTGACATGACAGCTCAGCTCCCCACCCGATGCCAGAGCGATGCTCGGATCAGACCTCCCCTCCCCTCCTTCACCGTTGATTCCTGCAACGACTTTCCCAGCAGGCACAGCCTCGCTGGGTGATGGATGTATCACAGTGGGCTGGGACGGGGATGGGACCCGGAGGGGGGACGTTATCTGCGGGTTCAACTGGCATGGATTTGGGTGTAGAGGTATTGCTGCAGTCTGCTCCTCCTCTCTAGTAGCCTCTGAGCTCGGCTGCAGCTGGCAGACCCAAGCTGGCTTTTGCTATTTCGGGCAGCGTTGTCTCAGCGGCGGTGGGGAATAGCACAGGGAGCACAGCACACACACATCAAAGAAATTCAGGGCAGAGGCGACCTGCAGAAACCCCAGGTCCCCGTGCAAAGCCATTTCCACGTTGATTGCAATCAGCGCATTATTAAGGTTCCCTGCCTCCCTCAGGGCATTAAGCGCCCCACACATGGACCGACCCCCCAAACACGTTGGTTTGCGACGGGTTTCTCGGTCTTGGTTGACATGCCGCTGCTGATTTCTGACTGTGCCCTGCGTCCCAGACTTTTAAAATGCTCCCGTGTGCCCAGAAAGCAGTGCAAGAAGAGGCAGGCTGCCCCTGCCACACACTCGGTTGCTTTTCCATCCATCCTCCAGCACCTGGAAGGATCTGCTCATGCTCCGGCTTGTCCCACAGCTCCGTGGGAGAGCCGAGCTGCTGTGGGATGAGCTGGGTCCCTCTGGGCACCATCCCTCTCAGAGGGAGCATCACCCCAGGCCACTGGCTGCCATCACTTTGCTTGGAAGGTGGTGGCAGTGGGATGTGGAGATTTTGCTGGCAGGCACATGCCCCAGCTCACCCCCCCAGGTCACCCGGGTGGCTCCGGCGCACTGACGGGTGGTTATTTTCATGCTGGGTCTCACACACAGATATTTTATTGTTTCAACAGGAAAAAATACTTGGCTAGACCAGAGTGAGGAACAAGGGAGGATGAGGAGTGCCGGTTGCCCACAGCTGACTCATCACCTTTGCAGGTGGCTCTGTGTTTGCTCTGGGCAGTCGGCAACGTGGGAGAGGCAACATTTGGTGCCTGGGCTCCCTCCTTCCTCCAGCATCAGCACCAATACAAGGGGAGGGCTGCTGCCGGGGGGAGGTTACTGGCTCCCCCTGAGCCCCCGTAGCACCTCTGCTCCCTTGGATAGCGAATAAGGGGATGCTCTTGAGCACGTTTGGCTGCTGGACCACTCGAATGGCACAGCTGAATCCAAACTGCCAGGGAGAGCCGAGCAAAGGGTTGGGAACAGGCAGAAAAGCAACTCATGAAAGAGCTGGAAGCACTTTTAAATGCAGAGGCTTGAAATGATCCAGAGAGCTGAGCTCACATAGGTTTTCTGACACCGGGGCTGAGCAAATCGTCGATGCCCAGCGGCAGGGGCTGCCAGCCACCTCCACTTTTCTGGAGCTCTGCCAGCGGTGGGATCCTGGGCTGGGGGAATGGACCTCTAAGGGGAGGTGACGGTGCTGGTGATACACATGGATAACCGGCACAGGCTGCCTGACTCAAACTCACTCCCTTCGCCCTGCCGGAGCTGTGCGATCATCCCCGCCAGCCGCTGGGCAGCGGCACTAGCCCCCAACGCTGGGGCTGGAGCCCCTGACCCCCCGCCCAGCCCTGGCTCCGCTGATGCGGTGGCATCACCCGGGGTCCCCACTGCAGCCCCGCGTGAGCGCCGAGCAGTCAGCGCTGGCGACAGGAGGAGCAGCGATCTGGCATCCCGCAGGAGAAGGGAGGGGAGGAAGAGAGGGAAAGGCCATGAAGTCTTGGGGTTCACCTGGAAAAAAAAATATATTTCCCATGTGGTAACGGTGCAAAAATGTATTGCGTGGCTGCTTTAACTGCCCAGGGACATGGCATATCATGATCCCCTCATTTGCAATATAGGGAAAACCTGTACCGTATGTTTTGTACAGTAGGAAATTAATAGATGGAAAATATATTTGTTTCCCTGTTTGAGAGGTAGGAGAGAGAAGGAAATCCTGGAAGCAAAAAGCAAAGGTGGGCATAGAGGGTCCTGGGGAAGGGTGTGAGGCACAGACATGGCATATCTGTCCAGACAAGGGGGCAGTGAGGTTTTTGTTGTCATACCATAATTTGTAAATTAATCTTAGGGAAAATCAAAGCATTATTCAAGCCAAGTACCCTCCCTTTTAAAAAAAAGAAAGCCTAGAATCATTCAGGAAGTGCATCACTCATGAGGACCTTCTCTAACTAAAATAAAATGTGACGACGATGATAATAACAATAACAACAACAATAACAATAATAACTAATAATAATAATAATGGAGTTTTGTATACAATCCCCGCCTTCCCTCCAAGCAGGTAAAAAGGTGCAGAAGGATGCAGAGGGAAGGATGGGGCTGGAGATGGCGGGGCAACCCAGGAGAAGAACAGTCGGAGCCCATCGGTAGCAGAGCTGCACAGACATTTATTGAACACAAACAACGACAAACACAGCCGGCCCACAGAGCTTCCTGAGCTATCGTCCAAAGGTTTTGCCCGTGGGGATTGTCAGAAGAGTGCTTTCAAAGGCCCCTGGGGGTGTGAATCCCATACAGCTTAATTCTTCCCACTTCCAGTTGCTCATTAGTTAAAATAAGAGGACCATTTGTGTGTAAGTGTGTGTGTGTGACTCCGTTTAGTCTGAAAAATGGCTTGTCTGGACCCTGCCATGTCACAAAGAGAGAAGTCTGCAGGTGAACCCGTGCGTGCATGTCTGCTTGGCTGCCCGGCACCTTCTGCCTCCCAAATAACACGAGGTGAAAACTACGCCTCGCCCTGAGGGCAGGGATGCGAGGTCACAAAGGGGAGCCAGGACAAGCAAAGTGAACGAAGAGGGAGCCTTGAAGGAAGAAGGGTGAGAAAAGTAACTACTCTGAAGCACGCACAGCTCTGGGTGGCATCACATGTCCATGGGCTACAGCATACCGCCAACTTCAACTCAAACGTGTAAGTAGCTAAGCTAGACTGATACTAGAGACCCCAGCGTCTTCCGAAGTCTCAGCAGCAGAAAAAAAGCAAACACCGCCCCCCCCCCCCCCCCCAACTCCCCCGAGAAGCAGATGAAGTAATAACATCGTACGCTGAAAACAAGGACCATAACCAAAGAGTTTGGGAGCAGCCTCAGGAGCACAGCAAGGAGCTCGTAAAGAAACGTTCCAGTGTGTGCATATGCGTGTGTATTTAAATATATATATATATATATTCGTTAGTAAAGAAAAGAGTATCTGTGGAGGCAAAGGGAAGACGGTAAATGTACAGGCGGTACAGGCTGGGTGGAGTGCCGGTGGCTGGAGAGGGTCGGGTGGTGCGGAGTGGAGGATGGTGGGTGGAAATTAGAGTGCGCCCATTCCAGTGACCTCAGACGTCAGCCTAGAATAGACAGGGACAGAGAGAGGGGCGGGGGGGAGACAAAAACAAGCGCTTAATATCCGGAGCAGAAAAGAAAACGAAGACCCTGCGGGGCAGCGCTCCTCCCCTTGCCTACTGGGGGGGTGGGCCAGAGCATCGCTGTGAGCGCATGGGGTTTGGGGGTCCCCATGGAGGGCACGGGGGGCTGGAGCATAAAGGTGGCTCAATGGCCTTCCCTTCTCCTGGCTGCTGCCAGGTAATGCCCGTCCCCAGCACTGCGCCGTGGCTTCGCTTCTCCCAGCACCCCTCCCACGGAGGACAGGCAGCTGTCCCAGCTCCCCCGGCCTCTTCGTTTTGCTCTGGATTTTGAAACTCTGGGAGAAGCTGAGCGATGCCCCATCCTGCCCACTGCCAGGTCACCGCTGCCTCCGCCGCAGCACAGGCTGCAGCTCAGCCAGCCCCTTCCAGCAGGGAAGAGCCGCTTGGTTTTCTTTTCTTTCTCTCTCTTGTCTCATGAGGTGGGGTGGGAGTTGGGGGGGGGGGGGGGGGATTGGCAAGGAGCTGCAGGGGAAGCTGCTCGGCCATGCCCGTGGGCATGGGGCCAGCCCTGTCCCTCTCCCGAGCGGCTGGAGAGGTGCCGTGGGTGCGAGCAGCGGGACGGCGGGGCGGGACGGGGTGGCAGAAGTCAGGGCTGAGGTGGGTTGGGTGCAAGGAGGAGAAGGCACGTACAGACCTCACCGGTAACCCCCCCCCCCCCCCCCCCAGCCCCACACCCCAACGGACGTCAGAGTCGCCGCCAGCAGCCCCCCATCATTCTCAGGACCCTACCAGCACCCTCCGGCAGCCGCGCGCGTCCTTGGGCTGGCGGCGGGCTGGAGCATCACCAGCCGGGCGAGCGCGAAGCCAGGGAAAGGCCCTGCCTCCCCTTCAGCTCCCCACCCACGAGGCGAACAGGTCTGCGTGAACACCCCGGACACGGCTCACCGCTGGCACGGAGCTGGTCCCCAACCCCTCCCCAGCTACGCCTCCCCTATACACTCCCCTCGCTGTCCCTTGCTGGACCCCCCCCGTCCCCCACGGCACAGGTAGCATCACCCCCCAAGCCGGAGACGGTGTTGGGAACCCTTGGCCCCTGCAAAGTCCTGCTGCGCCAAGCTTTTTAGCATGAAAAGGAAGCAATCAGGCCGTTCCCATGTCTTGCGTTTATTGGACTGATCATTTTCATCGGAGGGAGGAAAGCCTTTGGGAGGCCTGGAAGCACGCAGAAGAGGCTGTGAGAGGCATCCGTGAGCGATGCTGGGATCCCAGCGAGCAGGTCCCAGGTGATGCCTCCCCCACCACCGGCCCAGCTCTGTCCCCGTCCCTGTCCCCTGCCTCATCCGCAGGGAAAGTCGGCGGCAATTTTGCACACACACCCCCCTTCCCCCCCCTCCCCCCAACCCCCCCCCACCCCACGAGCAAAATCCTTGAGTGAGGGTGGCGGGTGGGCAGGCGACCGGCGCAACCCGCGGCCGCCCCGCTGGCAGCGAAGCAGCTCTCAGTCCCCAGCCAAAGTGCCAGCTGGGGGGAGAGGTCCCGCTGGTGACGACTGGTCCCCTCTCAGAGGTCTCAGCGAGCCACCATCCGTCCCAGCCGGCCTCAGGAAGCCCCTCCTGGCCCCGCGGTGCCGGGAGCTGCTCCCACCACGCTGGCAGGACAGGTTTGGCCGTGGCGGGAGGTGGTGGAGGTCGGCGGGGGGGGGGTCTCACCTGGCGTTGATGAGGTACTGAGCGAGGCTGATGTTTGCAGGGGTTCCTGTGATGGTAATTTGGCGCTCCGATGACCCTTCCGTGGCGTTGGCGATTTTGATCTGCGCTCCCGACATCTGCCGAATTTCATTGATTTTGGTCCCTTGGCGTCCGATTATGCAGCCTATTAGCTAGAAAAAAAGCACGGAGGGAACGTCTGAGAAGCGGCAGCTCTGGCAGTCACCGGCGGGATGCGAGCACAACCGCACGGCGCCGGCCAGAAGGTTTCCTCCCTCTGCCCTGGGGCGCGAGTGACCTTAATGCTCATGAAAACAGGAGAGGGACAGCTCGGGGGTGAATCCCACCTGCACGCAAGCACGGGCCTCCCAGGACACGTCCAGCAGCCTGCCCTGCTCTGCTCCTCAGGGGCGAATTTCAGTTATCCGCACACGATGCCCAGCATCTCAGAGGGCTTCAAGAAGGGCAAGGTGTTATAGCGGGCTCATTTTGGTAATAATCATTTTCATGGTCTAATTATTGTTCAATCTTTTGCAAGGATGGGAAGAAGTCATGTTTCAGACTGTGCTCCTCGCTTATCCCCTTGCCAATCACTGAGGACCTGAAGGAGGTTATACAGGATGTGTTACTCGAAGAAAACAAGCCTGCTGCCTTCCCTGGGGGGACAGCCCAACCCCGAGAGCCCCCTCATCATCAGCTGGTGCAGCCACACACCACTGATAGCTTCACGTTTCTTACCCCATCCCACACTTCTACCCTGCTGGGACACCCTGGCTGCCTCTGTTACCCCCTTCAGCTCTTTCAGTGCGATGCAAGGGCTCGCCAGCTGTTGACAGGAGAGTGCCACGTGGCTGAGGCACCAGCAGAAGAGGAGAATCCTACTTAAAAACATGTCTTTCACACTCTTGTGAAAAAAAAAATAGAGCCAGCTGGAGGCTTGGATTTCCTCAATTGCCCACCGCTTGAATTTCCACAATGGTCCTCAATGGCTTGAATTTCCTCAGTGGTCTTTGTCTTTGATCTTGCTCATTGGTGCATCAAACCATAGTTCCCTCAAGCACTTCTGCAGCTTGGTAACACATACTGAGATGTCCAGCTTTCCCAGCACAGGCATGAGGTGTTTCTGTGTGCCTTTCTTGCCCATCAGCTTTTGAGCTCTTTTCCAAGGTTGCACCTGGGAGTTTTATATGTGAGACGTTCATCTTGGCGGCTGCTGGATTTCTGTCACTGTAGAAATGGAGACAATTACTTCTCCAAGTACTTTTGTCAGATCATAGGGCTACGTTAGTGATTTGTCCCAGATGGACCTGAACGTAAACACCCCACTGCAGTGCTGGAAGGGTATCAACTATCTTGGGGGCTGCAGTGGGATGTTTAGCCCAACAGCCGCCCATCCTGGTCTTCACGGCCCAGAAATAACTCAGAGATGCTTCAGCAAATGAAGATCCCTTACAGATGGGAACCTGCTGGGCACACCTGAGGAGCCAAACTGTTTAGTTTTTTAGGCTAGTTAGTTGCTGCTCGGCAACATCCAAGCTGAGCAGCACCCAAGTTCCTCCCAACAGTCAGAGGAGTGACCAGATGGATACCATCAGATTTCTTCGAACTGCAGCGCAATTCCAAGCTGATCTTACACCACTAAAACACAGATGTAGACCCTTCGCTTTAAGAAACCCAAACCTGTCCTCTGCTTCCAGGGAAGGTGGTAGTGAGTACTTAAAAGCCTTCAAAACAACAGGAGGCAGAGCTAAGGAGGCATTTTTCAGCAGGCAGAAAGACGCAGGTGGTGACAGTTAATGCTGCACAGGTTGGGCTTCTGGCGAGCAAATGCTCTGAGTGCTCCTGGGTCCTGTGAGAGGTCCCCTGGCATCCTTCTCTCCTATGTGGGCCCGTTTGCAAGGGGTCGCTTGATATTCCTGAAGATACCTTCAATGCTGCCAGGGCTGTGGTCCCTCGTGCTCAACAGACGTGGCTGTTGCAACCTCAGGAGCGCTTGCAGAGCTCCCTACAGCCTCCCAGAGAGGGCTCCTCGCTGGATGGCCACAAGCAGACCCGGGATCAGCCCTCCTGCCATCTTCCACGGGCTCCTCTGCAGAGCCCTCCCTCGGTGGTTGGCCCCAGGGTGAAGCATCTCTGAGGGTTTTGTCCAGCAGATGCTGAGAAGCTGTTTCACTGCCACGTCTCTTGGGTGGAAGGAGGCCCGGGCATGCATCCCGGGGGAGCAGAGGTGCCCGGCAGCTGCAGCCAGGCTCGCCGCCCTTCCCTTGCGCTGCCATGTGTTGGTGAACAGCAGGAAGAAGTCGCAACAGCTGCCAGACCCGATCCAGAGACTCCTGATGAGGGTGGGCTGAAGGTGCTCGGAGTCGGGGACAGACACTGGAAGTCACGGATCCTGATTTGAGCGCAGGCTAGTTACCAACCCACGGAAACCAGTGGGCCAGTCCAGAAGCAAGTGAGACCTGTGGATCCAGGTGCCGCTGCGTTGGGCTCTCCATCCCACCTCCTCCCACCTGAGCATCCCCAAGCACCCTCCTCGCACCGCTTGGTTCCCAGCGTGACTCCAGCCTCCTCCCAGCAAATATCCCGGTCCAACATCCACTTTACCACAATACTTTCACCTATAAGAGCCAAAAGTTGCCTGCTACCAGTACTGAGATGAGACGCACTGTCCTTCAGACACTCGTGTGGCACTTTGTGGCACCAGAAACGCTATTTACTTACCTCCTCTTCAACACCCCCTCCCCCGGTAACTATGCTTGAGCTGAAACATCATCTCAGATCTGCCAGTGCTAGATTAAGCAATTATAGTTTAATCAGGGCTGACTCAGGAGCTCTACCCCTTCCCAGTGCTGGCAGCTGGGCACGTTTCATGAGCACTGATTTCACTTGGAAAGGGAAAAGGAGCATTAAAGTGGATTGTACCTAGGAAAGCTACGACGGGGAAAGTCCAACGGACGCTTTATGGTGCGGGCTGATCCCCAACAGACTGCACATGGCATGAGTGAACCTGGTGAAGGGGCATCTCTAAACGTATTTAACAAAGTCATATGCTTGCACCTCATACATATATATATATATATATATATATACACACACACATACATATATATGTTTATACACACACACACACTGAGGAAGCACTTGGATTTACTTACATCATTGGGAATGGTGAGTTCATGAGTACTGGCCGGGGGACTGGCATCCAAACCTGGGCATATGCAAGGGAAAATGGTTATAGCTTGCAGAGGCAGCACGCTGGAGCTCCGCTGCTTTCCCGCAACAGTCAACACTGCAAAGGCTGCATCCTGCTCGGGGGGGGGGGGCTGGGAGGGGAAGGGGATCACACACTCTGGTACAAGGAGGAGGAAGACGGTTGCTACCTGACTCTGCTGGAGCTGGGTGCCACCTTCCCCTGCATCCCTGGAGCTGGCCTCGCCGGTGCTGCCCTGTGAGTGCCTTGCTTCCCATCCTCCGTCCTCCCACTGAGAATGGCTTCAGGGGAGGGTGCGAGGCCGTGGCATCGTCAGAGAGAGGTCGGGAAAGCACCTTCCCACAAAGTCTTCCTCAAAACACAGCAGCAACCAGCCTGCTGGCCAGGAAACCCAGCCCCAGAGGCAGCCAGCCTGCCCGCCAAGGCTTCTCCACGCGCCCTCCGGTTTCCCCAGGGAGCCGGTGGTGCTCGCACCGGGCAGCCTGCAAAGCGTTTTGCAAGCAACAGCCCCACAGACACGCACGCTGAATTTAAGCCAGACCGCTAAGACATGCACGCTAGCCGGACCCGGGACTGGTGGTCCCTCTTACTCCCAAGGGAAAGCATGGCAAAGAGTACGGAGATGCAGAGCCTGCTTCCCTACAAAATGACATGGCGAGGAGCGCAGGCAGCAGCATGCTTCCTCCCAGCCTCTCCTGGGCCAGGGAGGACACTCTCCTCCATGGTGGGAAAGTCTGGAGCCAGCTTGCTGTCCTTTGTGTGCATGCCAGAGGTGCGTGCCAAAACGCTGCTCGGCCAGGTGGAAGCCTGCCTCTCCCACAGGTTTCCCTATTAAATCACCTCCGCGCCGAAACAGGGCTGTCCTACGTCAAATCTGCAAGACAGGAGCTGTCTGGCGGCTAGCAGGAATTTGCAGCCACCTCAAAAAACCCCGTTATCCGTCTAAGATGAACTACCGAGGAAGGCTTTCAAGAGCAGTGTGTGCAAAAGTCCGAGGCGCTTGTGCAGAGTAAGGGCATGCAGAGAAAAGAAGCACGAGGAGACTGGGAGTGCTGGGCTGCTACAAAGCAAGCCAGCAGCAACACCAAATTCCTGGCCACTCAATCCAGCCCGGCTTCCTCACATTGCATGGCACAGTGCCGCTGCCTTAACCACGCTGAGCAATTCCTCCGGGCAATGGCCAAGTTTTGCTGCTCTGCGTTTCCATCGAGGCCCTCTGCACCTCACCCAGTTTTGCCAGCAACAGCCACCCAGGTTTTAAAAACCCAGCAAGTCTGAACTGATGTCTGTCTGAGTACCAGCACCGTCAAAGCAAGATTCCTAAAACACTAAAATGAAGCCTTAGGTTGCAATCCCTTTTGAGCATCACCCCTAGAAAGGAGACTATGGGGTATCCTTGATTTGCTCTTGCGTGACTCCTGCGCTTTCCCACATGCGCCTCCCTTACAGAGACACAATGCCTGGGTGCCCTGCCCAGGCACCCGCTTGCAGCAGGTCTCTTTACCAGGTTTTTCACTCGGGATCACGCAAAAAGGCAGGGAATGGGGATGCAAATCCTCCACTCAGCAGCCCTACGTCCTCCTTCACCCCTGCTGGGTCCAGTAACGCTAAAGCCTGCAGGAACCAGTCCGTGCCCAGGTTTTACACAGAGGGCAGTGCTTAATGCTGACCTTATAGCATGTTGCACTGGAGGAGACGTTTCACCAGCCCTGCACTGTCTTTCATGTTGAGCCTCCTCAAAGTCTGGGGCAAGGCGGAGTGTACCTAACATGTCCCTCAGGGCGTGGGTGTCTCTTGGCCATACAAGGTTCAGCTCAGTACCCGCCCGGGTATGGCAGAAAAGGTCTTCTGAAGGGAGCACAGCACTGGAGATGGGCTCAGAGCAGCGCTGAGGCACACAGGCGTCTTTGGAAATGCAGGCTGGGCTCCTCAGATTGAGAGGTAGGGCCCCCCCCTCCATGCCCCACTCAGGTGGCACGGGTGCTGCTGAAAGCCCTTGGGGCACACGGTGCCATGGCACTGCCCCACCCCTGCACCACAACGGCCATAGAGGAATGGCCATCTCCTTCTCCATTATCTGGAGACTTTTTTTTTTAGTGTGCCAGATCCTCCCTCTCTGATATGCACGTGCAGTCCCCACGGCTGTAATGTGGGGGGTGGGGGGTCAGGGCAGGATTAGTGCACACAGAAAACAAGGCTGTGCAGGTTGGTATTATGAAATCTATATTTGCTCTAGTCTTGTGGGGTCTATTTACTTGGGCTATGTTTGCTTTCATCATTAGGCTGTGTCCCTGGACTCTTTTGAAGGGTGCATGTGATGCACCCTGGCTGGTCGCAGAGCATGTGTGCGCCCCGGGTACAGCTGGGGGGGGTCGGGCTCACATCGCCTATGAGCCTCCAGGTCTCAGGATAACTCCTCTAAGCAATGGCAGGTTATAAAAGATAGGCATGATTGGCACATACGGATGAACTTGCGCGACATTTGACTTCAAAATTTCTCCAAGATTATAGCCATGCTTTGGCTCCTCAGGGTCCTGTCCCACTAAAAATGCAGCTCACCCCAAATGGCTTAAAAATGGCTAGAACTGTGTCTTGTTTCTCTTCCCACAGGCATTCTTCTACTGTTTCTGAGCAAAGTTTACACAAAATTAAATGAAAGAATAAGGGCAATGACTCTAATGTCTCTCCGTTACATGGATGGCAGTTATATGGAAACGTCAAAAAACTAGGCAATAAACTCCAGGCACTTTTCTTTTGACATGCTGTACGAAGGAGAACAACAGGCACAGTGCTGCCCGGTCTCTCCTTGCCCAACAAGAAAACCTGCCATCTTCTCCACAAATACCACAATTTATGTAGGAGCACAACGAAGGCACAGTCCTATTTAAGAAACGTATTTCAACCGAAGCCTCCTTATTTCCCTGTAGCTTTGTGTTTTACCTGATGATTGGCCCATCAGATTTTGAGCTTCTTCGGAGGAATGTAAGGGCAGCTTTTCTCCTGAAGAGCAAAGAAGAAACAGGTTTAATGCTTTTGCCTTCGAGGAGATAAGCAATGTCACTTCATCTAGGAAGCTCAAAATATGATGAACATACTGTCAGAAAAGGCATTTCCAACCGGCACTTCGACCACTGAGTAAGCAAAGGTACTTTAAGTATCTCCATCCCCTGTGCTCTATCTGCTTCCCGGGTCACCGTGAAAACGCCAGCCTTGGGGACAAGGCTGCTGAGCCATGCCACGCCTGGCCGTCCTCCCGTCAGCGTGGCTCCCTACGGCCGTGGCTCCTTCCCATCGCTCTCCCCGCTGCGAGGGTGCCATCCTGCCCGGCTCAGCACCGCTCCCCACAGACGCTGAGGCAGCATCCCCGGCCGGCGCCGAGCCGGTCCCCCCCCGGGGAAAGCGGGGATGTCCCACCGGGGTCCGGATCAGCACACGGCGGGGGATGATACCTGCCCTGGGTGGGGAAGGGTAAGGAGACTGGTGCTCATCGCTGCTGCTCGGAAAGCCAGCAAAGCTGGGAGCAGAATAAACGTGGCTTTCCAGGAGCAGTCCAGGCGTGCACGGTTAACGGCTGAGAGCTCACCCGTGAGGACCATAACCCCCAAACATTTGTCCTGTCTCCCTGCTAACCTTTCCCCGTGGACATTGCAACTTCAGTTTTACTTGCCCTGCTTGTTTCCATAAAATAGCATTAGTTTAGAAAGAGAGAGAAACTCTACAGGTAAGAAGAGAAGGATATCTAGAAAGGGCATGTGGGTACGTACCAGGGAAAGCGGGGGTGGTCTGTCCAAGGGGAGTAAAGGGGGTTTGCTGCATAGCCAACTGGTGGAGCTTGGTCAACTGCTGAGGGGTAGGAGGGACATTAGAGCTAAGAAGGTTATTGTCATAGAGTACAACAAGTCACACCGAAAATCAAGAACAAAATTATAACGGAAGAAAAAAAAGAAAACAAACCAAAAAAAAAAAAAAAAAAACAAAAACCAGGAAGCCATGGTGAGACATGGCAAAAAAACATTAGCAGAAGGACTTGGCCTGGGTACAATGCAATAAAGCCCAAATCTTTTGCAGAAGTGCTTGGTCAGGGTCTGAAGTACGATACCAGCGAGAAGCCCATTCTTAAGTTTCTGCCCCTCGTCAAACAGTTTGGCTCCTTCACCACGAGCGAGCGGCTGCCCTGGCGCACGGGCGGCTGCTGCAGCTCTTCCAGTCGCCCCCTTCCCCTCCCGGGCTCCCCAACCTGCGACCAGAGGCTGCTGCTCGCTTCAGGGTAGCTTTAGAGCAGAGGAGCCCTCTCAAAGGCACTGCCGGGCTGGTGGCCATGGCGTGCCAGCAGCCAGAAGACCCTCTTTGTGCTGCCGGAGCCGCACCGTGACCGCTGGCCCCCCAGTAAAACACTCTGGTGCCGCGCCTTGGGTGGGAAATGACTCTTGGAGGTGGAAAAACCGCGGCACTGAACGTCAGCTTGGTACGAGGGCAAGCCCCTTAGCAGTATGGAAAATATGGGCTTCAGCCATGACCAGTAAGTATTTCAGATCCTTGCATCCCTTGTAGGTTTTCGTGCCCCGTCAGGAAGCGGTTGCATAGAGAGGAGTTTGTTTGGAATACATTTTGTGCGCTGTTTCACTGCTCCAAATTAAAAAACCAAAACGATAAAACAAAATAAAACAAAACGAAGTGGGCTGAAGTCTAGCAGTGAGCAGGAGGGGGGGGGTCTTTATCACCTCCCCCGCTGCAATTTCACAAGTGCTTTTAGAGGGTTGCCAGGATCACATCATCCCCCAAACGCAAACCGCTCGTTGCACCCGTCCTCTCCGCGGTGAGGGAGAGGCAGGAGTTACAAGTTGCACAGTTTTGAGGGAAAGAATACTCAAAAACCTCCTTGCTCCTGCAGCGTGGCTGGGGAGGGAGCGCGGGCAGGTCTGGCTGGCAGCAGTGAAGGGGAAGCGCTGGAGAGAGGAGGCTTGGGGAGCTAAGCACACCGGGGGAGAGGCTGGAGGGAGGCAGCAGAGAGGGGGGAATGCCTGCAAGTCCCCGGAGAGGTCCCCGAGGGAGCCCTGCTCAGCAGAGGCGTGAGGACTTCCAGCCTCTGCCGGCGTGGGGGACGGGTCTCGCCAGGCCTTGGGAAGAGTTCGCGTGCCCACCTCTCCCAGGGCGGCATGGAAAGCAAACCAAAGGTGTGCTGTGGCAGGCTGCTGCCGAAACACAGTCAGCTCCGGATAGGTAGCAGGAACAGCAGCATCTGCTGGTTTTAATTTGAGAACTATCCCGTTTTCTGCTGAATTAAAGCCAGGCGCACCCTGTTTGCGGAGCTCCTTGTGCAGAGCCGGTCCTGCCGGCAGGACTCTAGATGAAATCTCCTTGCCTCTTCGTTGGCACTGACAAGAACCGGGGAGCAGAGCCCCCTGGGCTCCAACTGTGCCTCGGGGCGGGGGTCCCGCTTCACTCGAGGGGGGAAAACACCCAAATCCTTTCTAATACTGATCTAGCATATTTTTAAGGCATAATTTGGATAGTTGTATTAAGCAAACACCCATAACAACAGTAATAAAAAAGCATACAAGAGGAGAGAATGGCTACGCCTAAACTTTAAAGTGAAAGCTTGCGATGCACCAAACATCTCTCCCATTTCACGGGAAAAGCTGAAAGCAAAAAACTGAGACCATTTCTTCAAACTCTGGTTTTCCCCATAGACCAGGGCGGCGTTCCCCCGCCGGCATTGCTGGGAGGGACAGGACAGGGCAGGATAGGACAGCAGCACTGGGACCAACGTACAGCCATGCCGAGCATCACCAGGTACCCACAGCAACTCCGGGTTCCATCTCATCGGCTGCCAGCCTGGTGTGAACCCAGGAGTGATGCCCTGGTTCGGGAGTTTTCTTGCACCCGACATTTATTTCACTCCCAAACACCCCCGACTCCCCGCTGCCATTGGTGTCCTTTCATCTCCCACCACAAATTTCGTGAAGGCAGGTAGCTGCACATCACAGCCCAAGTGGCTTACGAGTACCCGGGCAATGCCAAAGCCCTTCATGAGCCAAAACTCTTGTAGACGTGGGAGAGTTTTTCCCAGGGCAGAAAATCAAGACAGGAGCTTGCATTTTAGCTTTGGCATCTGAAATTCTGCCCTCTCTGCAGTCATGGGTCTGCAGAAAGCATCTGCTAAACACAGACACCTGTGAGAGCAAGGGCAATGCCCCAAAATCACGTTTAAGACTGCACTGAGCAGCGCTTAAAATGGCCAGTCCTTGTGAGAGAGCTTTGAGAGTAAGGATGGAGCACATGGCCCCCATATGAACAACTCTTTCCAGCTCTCAGCAAATCTCTTGGGAATAGGGCAGAGCGCAGCCAGCAAATGTTCGAAATGTATTTTATTCCTGTCAATCAGAGGAATATAATAACAAGGAAAACACTAAGCTGTTGCCATCCCTTTCAGAGAAAAACGAGGACAAAGGATATATTGATCTATCCTCACTAAATATGCAGGTTTATTTATTTATATTCCACGTAGAGAGCAAAAGTGAAGCCCGCACAATTAAGAATATTTCTGAGCAAACATCACATCAGGCTATTCAAAGCACATGCATACTGGTGTCGCGCGGAAAGCCAAAGCCTCCAATACACTGCGTGAAATCACTGCTCTGAAAATCAAAATCCAGCCTACAGCTCCTAACCGTTCCCACAGGGAGTGTGCGTTCACGGTATGGGACAGCCTTGCCCTGTTTATCAATCATGCAAAAAGCAATCCCATGGTTTAATACCCAACAAACACACCCATCAGAAAGAGGAACGCCGAGCTACGTCAAACTCTTCCAGTGCCCGGGATATCTGGAGAAGTTTTTCCGCCTGGACCACGCCACTTAGAATTTAGCCGCATCTTTGTGCTCAGCGCCCACTCTGGACCCCTGACTCGCAGGTGTGCCAGCAAGAAGGGGCCTCTGCAGTGGGACTTGCCGGGTATTTTATCCCCTCTGAATCACATTTAGAAAACGCCAGCTTCTTCCAAGAGCTCCCTGGCACGTGTCAGCCTTGAGGACCCCAGAAACCGAGCAGCCGCGCTGCTGGCATTGCAGTGCTTCGCTGCCGCTTTTCACGGAGGAATCCTTTAAAATAGACTCGTTTTCTGTTTCTGTTGATACTTTTGCATGCAGACACGCCAGCAGTCGCTCCCTACAGGTCCCCCCTCACAAATGTGCTGGGGTTCCCTGACCCACCCCAGGCACAGGAACCTGGCAGGAGCACCAGCGAAGCTCACCCGCGCTGCCAGCCTCACCGGCGCTCGTCTCCGCACCGAGGAGTTCCAGACGAAGCGGGGACCGTGCCCGCGATGTCCCCCGCCTCCTCGGGAGACACAAAGCCAAACCCATCGAGACAGTGGTCAAACCCAGGGTGGCCGCTTCGGTCTGTGGGTCCAGCTCCCGTGGGGAGGCTCAGAGCCCTCGGCAGGGTGAGGTCCAGCACCGCGGCAGGATCCGCGTCCTCCCTGGGGGACGCGAGAGGTATTTTTTGCCCAACCTCTGCTCCTGCTTCTGATTCACCCAGAGGAGGCCCCCCCCCCCCCCCCCCAAAAAAAAAGGCACGTCCTCCCTGCCCAGGCTTCAAACAAGAAAGCACACACCGCTGGAGCTCTGGCTTCTCCCCACCCCACGAAGGCACTCAGCACCTAAATAGGCTCACCCACATTTTAAGGACAAGGGGGGAAATAGAGAGGAAGGGCTTTTTTGTTTTTCTTTTTCCCTTTCTTTGTGTGTTTTGATCATTTTGAGGCACAAAATGCATAGAGTATGGTTTGTTTCAGGACAAAGGGATAGCACTGAACATTGCAAACAATTTAGCATCAGGCCAAGTCCTCAGAATTAATAAAGTTTAGTGCTAACAGGTTGAAAGGCTATTCAAGGTATTATGGATACTACACACGGCCAGTTACTTTGAAAATATGTTATTAATATTATTGTCTAATATTAATATTATGTGAATTAACAGTAGCATGCAGGTGACATAAAAGGGTATAAGAAAAATTAGGGTAAAACTCACATCCGGGTGTGGAATAGCGTATTGTCCCTGAATTGTATAGGCCTGCAAAGAAAAAAACAGATGTTATTAGGGCTGGCAGGAGGTGGTGGCAAGGTCCCGTGCCTCCACAGGGACTGCTGTCCCCAGGCTTTGCTCCTTCCTGCCTCACATGGGGTAAATGCTGTAAATGCAGGGGCTAAAGAGGAGCTCAGCTCCCACCCGGCTTTGTCTGGGACCCCTTGTTATCCCCCAAAAATGGAGTATGGGGAGCTGAGCATTGTGCCACCGGCACACCTCTCCCCTCACTCTGCTGCTGGTGAAAGAGGGGTGTGGGATCTTGAATTTTGACTTAACCGGCTTAATTTTGAGGTTGGAGGGGGATGAGGGAAGAAGCACTTCCCGCGCACCCCCCTGGCTAGCCCAGGGGAAGAGCCTCCCTGTGCTGCATTAAATTCACTGAGCCAGCAAGTCCCTGGGTGGGAGGGAGATGTACCCCTCCGATCAAAGCCGGAGCATGCTGAGCTACCCAACTTGACAGGCTTGGGCTCAGCTTGGCTTTTCCAAAAGGAAGGAAACAGCTCTTTAAAGGGGCCAGAATTGCACGGAGCGGGAAGACTGGGCTTCGCTGTGCAGAAGATACTCATCAACCCAGAATTATCTGTGTAGCGGATGCACGGTAACATCACCGCTGCCCTTCGCACCTAAACGAGATCCTAGAAAGCAAGCCAGCGCAGTGAGTCTCTCCATATTTTCAGGTGCACAGCTCTTAATGTGCTTTACATCTACCCAGTATATCCCAGTGCTCTGCTGGGGGGGGAAAGGCATTGCCGTGCAGAAAGCCAGCTGGGCAGGACCCTGCTGATGTCTCAAGAAGTGCGGAGATGGCTCAGGGACAGACTGCCTGCACGGCAATGCCTTTCACCAGCTACAGTTGCCAAATTTATGCAGATGTCTGCTAGGCAAATTGCTGAGAGTTTTTCCCATCGTTTGTAGCAATCCTTTCTCTTTTGTAAATAACCTGAAAATAAGCATCGCTGCGGGCACAGTCAGACACTAGAGAGCCCAATATTTAGGACTAGCAAAATGTATCTCACTGAATGACACATAATTCAGATGATTCTGACAGAAATGGCAAAAGAGATGGATAACACTTTAAAAAGGGAGAGTAAAGATAGCCAAGAAAAAGGAAAAAAATCCCTCTGAAACTTCTGAAAATTTGCTGCATCGTTTGCAAACAGCAAAGCACTTTGTGTGAGGAACCCCCCTGAAATCCTGGAGGAAGGAAGGCAAAGCCCCAGGCAGTCCCCATGCCTGCTGGCATCCCAGCACGACAGGGACCGGTGTGCCTGCGGGGACGTGGCACAGGCCACTCTGCAAAGTTCAGCCTTCCCTGGCAGTTTCATTTGGGTGCTGGTTGTTTTATTAGACAAAACCGATTAGAAAAAACTAATTGAAGGCAGGAAGGTGTCTTGGACAGATGCAGACCCGCTTGTGTGATCCCCCCCCGGCTTTCTGCAGGGGCTGACGTGGCACGTGGGTGATGGGGCTGATCCCTTTGGCAGCTGCCATCGGCCACCGCGTCCCCTCGGCCTGCTGAGATCCTGCAGGTTCAATCCACCCCCCCCAAAAAAGCACCCTGCGGCATTGCTGTCACCTGCTCTCCTCTGCCCACCCGCCCCGTGCCCCCCACCCCGGGCAGAGCCAGCGCTCCCTCGGGGGCAGCAGGGAAGAGCTCTCATTTCAGAGACGGTTGCTTCTTCCCGCAGCATCGCTTCTGCGCAAGACACCAGCCAGCAGGAGAAACGCTACCTCCGTCTTACTCTCCCTTTTGAGAAGTTCACCAAGCAGCTGGACTGAAAGCTCTTTTCCAGGACGGCTGCTCGGACTAAACGACACACTCCTCCTGATGCTGGCAATGACTAAGAGATGCTAATTCAACACGCTGCCTGAAATAGCCTGTGCTTTGGGCTTCATCCTTCTGCTATTTACTACGGTTGGGGAGAAACGAAATAACTTGTGTGGAGCTGCTCTGGGTAGCATTAGCTGCAGCTTCGTGGTGCTGGCTCTACCTGGATGCCAGAGCTCCTGGGAAAGGACCAATCCTGGCAGGTGCTGGTGCACCACACGATGGTGGCATCTACAGGCAGGTCCTCGGTCAGCTGGTGAGGTGAGAAGATGAGGTGGAAAAAGCAAGGGTTCACATCCCCTCGTTAAAAGCACCTGCCTGCTCAGCCGCCCTTGTTTCATTAATCACATGCTGCGGGAGCTGATTTTTGTTTGCAGAACAACCGCCAGCTCCCATGGCACGCGTGTGCAAAGGTTATTTTGCAAAGAAGAAAATCAGCCATCACTTCCCAAGGGTCGGTGGAAGCACCACATCAGGGCTGCAAGCCTGCAATTGTCACTGAAGGCAATGCAACGCAGGCTCTCTCACGGGCAGAGCTGAGGCCCAGCTTTGCAGCAGAGGTTACTGGAGTTTCAGGGGAAGCAGCACCCCAAAACAGCCGAGCAGCAGTGATGGGGACAGGACTCTTTCACAGAGGCTGCCCTGAACAGAGGTTCAGCACAGTCCTGGAGCGGCTGGGAGGAGCCCTTCCTATCTTGCATCAACTACAACTATGCAAAGTTATTTTTAATTGGACTGGAGATGACAGGAAAATAAACACTTTCAGCCCCTGTGAAAGCATGGTCAGTGAGGCTTTTCTCATTTTTCTCCCTCACAGTGGTAACTGTTGGCAAGTCCTGAATTTGGGTCTAGTGAAGCAAACTCCAGCCTTTTCTTGGTGCGTGAGCGCCGAGCAGAGCTAAGACGCTGTTTCCCCAGGCGGGCCCTTTCCTTATCCTCCAGCAACCATCACAGGAGCGAAGCCGTCTGCCCAGGCTTGCAAACTTGCCAGCGGTTCTGCAAAGAGCTTTCCGTCCACCTGCGGTGGCACACAACGGATGGGATGACACCATGCAAGTCAGAAGGCAAGAAACCTGAGTGCACTAACGGGCAGCGGCTGGTGCTGCAGTAAAAGGCTGAGGTTGGCAGTGGAGGCTGCAAGCGGGTCGGCTCTTACCTGACCACCTGCAAAAATGACAGGGGTGGAGGCGGGCTTTGGGCGGTAGGGAATGGTGGCACCTTTTGGTGGGGACTAGGAAAAGGGACAAGGAGAGGGAGAGAGAACATTAGAAGAGCTTTCCTGAAACAGCGGCAAAAAGAGCGTTAGAAAGCACCCGACAGAGCACGGCCCCCGGGGCCGCTGCCAGCAACACCCGCACCAGGCAAACTGCGTTTCTGGACAGGAGGACACAGGGGGAAATTGGTGTTTAATGGACAACAAGGACAACCTGGGGTACGGGAGATCCCCAGCCAAGGAACGGGCCCCTAAATCGGTTCCCAGACCTCCACTGCCTCCCTCACCTTCGCTCCGCTCTCCGCAAGCTGCGTTGCCTGGTCTAGACTCCGGCCTGACGCTTGAACGCAGTACCCACCTCAAAACATCCCAAGGAGACCCTCAAAGCAGCAAGATGGGGGGATACACCCCCAGGACCAGGCTTTTAATCCCTGGCTGCCAGGAGCCTCCTCGTGCAGTGGCTTTCTGCGCAAGCTGAGAGCTCTTGCACGTCGATGGCCCGCCCTGGGGTCATACCAGCCCCGCCGAGCACCAGGAGCTGTGGCACGGCGTCGTGAGCATGGGCGTCAGGAGTGAGCAACCCCTCCGAGCGACCCGGCATGACACTCAGGCTCTAGGACCTCTCTCATCTTCCTCACCGCCTCAAGGGACGGGGGTCACCTTCAGGACTTGGTTTGGTCTAGTGCCATCCAAGCTGGGAGATGGGTGGTTGTGCAGCAGGCGCTGACCTCCCATGCCCTGGTGGGACAAGTGGCAGAGATGACTTTGGCCAGAGTGCTGAGCTCTGAAGGATTTCCAAGAGGCTGGAAATCCCTCTCGGGTGGCAACACCAGAGTTTCGAGAGATCTTCTCCTGGAGCTGCATGGTGGTAGCAGTCCACCAGGCCAGACTCCAGCAGCAGAGCCACAGACCCGTACGCGCTCCCAGATCTCCTCCTGTGGCAGCATGACCCGGGGCAGCTCCGCTCCGGCCGGGCAGGGCATCTTGCTCTTCACTGCTGTGGCCTGAGTAGTGCCTCTAGTTTCGGAGCAAAAGCTCTAGTGATGCACATCAAGATATAGCAATACATCCCACTGCACGGTGCGTGGGCTCTCCTCACTCAAGTTATCTCTGTCGGTTTTCTCTTGAACATAACTAAGAGGCCTTAGAAGGGATTTTGAAGGTTTCTAGGGATCAGGAGAAATTTCACGTAAAAGCCTCCGGGTTCTACCCGAAGTGAAATGACCCGGTTTCTGCTATGTAAAGATAAGAGATATAAATTATGCTATCTCATGGAAAATTCTTCATTTTTTTTCTATACATTCTTCCAAATGTCCACTTGTAGCCAACTGGCATATCCAAATCTTCCTGCAAAGCACAGGTCTGCAGGAAAGCTGTATGATCAAAGCACAGCCCCTATAATCACAAATCTGCTTTTTCTTTTATGGCATTACGAATCTGGGAGGGGATGAGCGAGGATTTCTGCAGTAAGATAACTTAAGGTTATAAGGAGCATCTCTGTGAACTGCTAAAGTCAGGGAACTTCCCACATTTCAAACTGCAAGAAAACTCATGAGTTTTTCTCTTTCCCACTGCTGAGCCATACAGAGGAGCTGCACCCCTTGCTTTGGTCGGCAAGAACAGCAGCCATGAAAGACTTTAGAAGACACCTGCAAGCGTCACCTCGGGCCCATCTCTGCCGCAGTCCAGAGCATAATCTGGAGTCACTGTGCAGCTAAAACCGCACTCCTCTGGCAGCATACCCGCCTGAGCATCACTACCAGCAGCGGAGGGTAACGTGGCTCATGGAAGTTCCTCCTGCTGCCAGACTGAAGTTGCTTGCATGGGGTTTTGCTTCACCTCCACCAAGCCTTGCTGCCCTTGCCCGAAGCTCTAGCCGCGGCAAATGTGCTCCTCCCTGCCGTGAAAGGGCAGCGGTGTGCGGGCCCTGCAGTGTGGCAGAGGGGCCCAACGTCGGTCTGTGCTTGGCGACCCCTGGGAGGAGGCACCAGGAGCGGAGGGTGTCACCGTCCTGTGTCCCGAGGCCTTTCCTCCTGGATTGTCTCCCATCGGAGGTGGCAAGCAGGGATGTGGGGCATGTGGCTGTGGTCGTCCCTGGCAATAAGCCATTGGTACAGCAGCACCTCCCCACGCAAACGATCTTCAGGCTCTGCTCATCACCAGTTCTCCCAGACAACGAGACCCTGGACACATGTCCATGCACCCTACGGGCCCTGCTCTGCACCAGCCTTCCTCACCGCCCTTCACGCTGTGCCTCACTGGAGCCTGGCTTTGTCCTCCCAGCTTAGGGGATGCACTGGCCTTCTCCTCCCAGCCGTGGTCTTCACGGGGCACCGTGAAGCCCATGCAGAGAAGGCCAGGAGCATGGTAGACTGGCTGCAGCTCCCATCCCCTTCCCACGGCACACTGGGTGCTGCTGGGACACCGAGCCACAGCTGTCCCAGTCCACCCGGCTTCCTCCGGCACCCCTCTCTCCCAAAGCCACCCAGTGCTATTACACAAACCATCTCCTTTGGGTCACCCGACCGGGCAGGTTTCCAGTGTGGGACTCTAGAAACAATGGACAATGGTGGGGAAAACACACGGGGTGGGTTTCAAACGGAGGTACCAGGAAATGTGAGTGGTCCGACAACGCACGGTGAAGGGTACGAGAGACACGCTCCACAGCTCCCAGCGCTGTTGTGGTGCCAGCTGGGGTTTTTTCCTATGTACTATACCCCCTTTGTTACAGACTGTACCTCCAGCATCACCACACAGATCTGTTTGACACACTGGATAATTGCGTCGGGTGTCCCCGAGATTGTCACCGCCCGCTCCGTGGAGTTGGGCAGCATGTCCCCCGCCACTTGAACCTGAGCACCTGTGGACTGGAGACAGAAAGAGAGAGGAGGAGAAATCCCACAGCTGAATGCCTTTCCTTGCAGCCAGCTCCAGCTCCGGCGCCACGCGCCTGCACGAGCTGGGATGCAGCGCCCTGCCTGCATCCGCAGCAGCACACCAGCAAGATCCCGCGGGATGCTGCTCCTACGTCAGCAGGACCATCCTGGGAAGCAGTGTGATGCATGGCGCTAGCAGCGTAAGGATCCCCTTCTCCAAGGCAGCTTTGCCTTGGTCGCAGATCAGCTCCAAGGAGCTGGGACTACATGCAATGATGGAATCAAGTCTGGCTTACCTCCCTGATTTCCTTGATCTTGGAGCCTCCTTTGCCGATCAGCGAGCCGCACTGACTGGCCGGCACAACAAGTCTCAGTGTCACCGGAGGTTTGCTGGTAGCGGTGCTGTTGCTCATTGAGTTGGTTATGTCCTTGGGAAGGAAGAACGCATCGCATCAGCCCTTGGTACCTGGCCAGACCCTGCCAACCCAAATGACCTGGGCCAGAAAAAGAGGGGTCACGTCCCCCAGATGCGGCTGGTCTCTGGATGCAGCTGCATCACTGTGCATCCCTGCAGCTAATTAACTATGAGACCGCTGGGATAGTTCACTGAAGCTCTGTTCTCGCCTAGTTAGAGATGTCTGGAAGGTTTTGTGCCAAGCTCGTGTACCGGTTAATCAAGCCCAGCCAGGTATTCGTGGGTTGGAGGTACCCAGGCCCATCTGCACTGCTGGCCCCAGCAGTGGGCACGTCGGAGTTCTGCTTGGCTAGTGGGCTACCCAAGGGTCTCGATACAGGCCCTGTTACTCTGCCCTGCCGGGGGAAAGGGCTCACGTTGCTCACCTCCTCAAATTTGTAGGCGATCATGGCGAAAGCCTTGAAGATGGCATCGGTGGGGCCGGTGATGGTCACAATTCGCTCGGGGCAGTTTCCCTCTGAGATGTTGATCCTTGCCCCGCTCTGGAAGGAGAAGGGCAGCCCTGGACTAGCCACAGCCAAGCAACCCACGAGGATGTGCCAGAGGCACAGCCCTTCCCCTGGGTCAGGTCCCATCCCAGCCTGGTCCCTCGTCATCCTCTCTGCCAGCACCATGCCATCCCACCTAACCTTAAAAACTCCCATCCCTGCCCCCCATGGTGCCTCCAGCACTGCCTTTACCCTGACCCTCAGAAAGGGTTTCCAAGTGTCTGCTTTGGGTCTTTTACTGCAATGCAAACCCACACGATCAAGGCAAGACCAGCGCATGGGATCATTGCAGAAAGAAGAGTGTTACTTAAGGATCTGATAACTCCTTGGTATCTGCAGGCACAAAGCATCTTACGAGTGACTTAATTTCAATGTTTCATTAAGAGCAAATTCTTGGCTCTGAAAAATTCCCATTAAATGTGATAGGAGTTTGTTTGAGTACAGAGTGAGAAAACTGGGCCAAAGAGTTCTGGGCACAGCCGGGTTGCGTGTCCTGACCCTGGGAAGTACTGCACATGTTGCACAGGGCAATGTGCAGCTCTGCTGCTGGCCAGGTCAGCCCAACAGCCCTTCCCACTCCTCTCCCCTCCTCCTACAAAGCATTTTTACTGAGCAGGTTGCTCACCTCCTCACGCATCTTCTTCACAGTCTCTCCTTTCTGAAATAAGATGCAGAAACACAGGCTATTACTAAGAATTCAAGACCTCCACCTTCAAAAGAACCCTTTCAGCCACGCATCTCTCTAATACGTGGCAATGCGCAGCCAAACATTGGGGCAGCTCTGTGATGCCTGGCCCTCCATCCCCACGCGATGGTCAGCTGCAGAGCTGAGGCTGTAAGCTGTTGTAGCCCTGCTCCCTGTGTCTGTAGGACACAACAGACAAAACAGCTACTAATGCACAACCGCAGCCTCTACCTCCTTTTCTGTGTTTCCTATTAGGAGGAAAAATGCACGGAAAAAGCTCAGAAACTCATCAGATATTGAGAAAAGATGGCACCTTGGAGTGCCTTTGAAGGGCAGTTATCTAGTACCTGCAGAAAGAGATCTAGTATCTTTATATCCAGGTATAAAGCAGGTACAGCTGTGAATCTTTCCAGGGATGGACAAGCTAGATGGAAAAACAAGGCGCAAGCATATAGAAGAAGGTGTTTGCACTGCAAATCTTTGCTACCACAAACCTGCCTTTTACAAACATGGAAACCCCAACCCTATAGAGCCAGGACTTTCCAAACCACCACTGCGAGCACCAGGGAACAGAGCACCTCATGAAGCTTTTCTGCACAAGCTAAATGGCATCCTGTGGCCTCACAGGGAAGTGCTTCAGAATTCAAACAGGTTTGCATGGCGTTTCTTAATCTCTCTTAATGAATCTATTTAATCAACACATCAGAGCAACATGATCACAAATACCCATTTGTCACCACAATGAAGCTGCTAGAAACAGCACTAGATGAGTTTGGTGGTGTGGGTTTTTTTTTTTAAGGGAATGGTCTTTGATCCCTCTGTCGGTCTCTGATCATTTCTGTCTCACAAGCTCAGAGACAAGCTCATGCACAACAAACATTGAAGGGACGTTACAGGGAAGAGGTGACTGGCATCTCCCACAACACAGGCAGCAAATCGTGCAGGCAATAGCATTAAATACACATTTAAAAGACGTTCTTACCTTTCCAATGATGCTTCCAACTTCCTACAAAAAAAAAAAAAATTAAAAAAAAGCCAAACAGAAAGGAATTGATATTACAAAATGGGAAGACAATCCAGCCCAACCCCATAATGAAGCAAAGACCTGGTGCACAGTGTCCCCAGAAGAAGGACAGGGGGAAGGCATGAGAGGGGCCAAGAGCGCCTTGCCACCATGCCACCCTCCCCATGAACAGGAGGATGCCCGCACCCGCTCTGGGGCTGGCCGGACCCAGGCGCAGCTGGAGCAGAGGTGGGAGAGGGAGCTGCGAGGAAAGCCCCTTACCTTGCCATGCATTAGCAGCCGGATGGTGAGGGTGACGTTCAGGCCGCCTTCGGAGACCTTGGACTCCATTTCCTACCAGGGGACGGGAGACGTGCGTTAGCTGGGAGGGCAGCCCTGGCACAGAAGGAGACAGCACCACGGCTGTATCACCTGGGGACAGAGAGGGGGAAATGTTTTCTCTCAGAATAGGCAGGTTCTTTGACGTGGGATGGAGCCTGCGTGGGAAAGCCTCAACTGGAGGAGCTGCGGGGGGGTGTCGTGGGCTGAGCACCTTTGCGAGTGCTCGCCGCAGGTATTGCGCTGGGTGCGAGCCTGGGAACATCCCATAGCTCTGCTGTGGCTTTGCCACCAGCTTTATGCACACGCTATTGTGGGAGCAAAGACTCAAATGTCCGAGGTGGCACAGCCAGATGTGTAGCCTGCGTGAGCTGAAAAGCAGCTGTGCCTAGTTGAGTGTATGGATGCAGGAGCGGGGAGTCAGTGGAGCAGCCTGGGCAAAGACCGATGGCTGAACTGGGACTTTGAAAGACCCAGGGCACCTGTCTAGCAAACCAAACTTCACCACTTCAAGTGGGAATGGGCACTTGGAAAATCAAAAGCCAGTTTTCCAGTAATCAGGAAATATCTATCTGACCCCAGGAGCACAGAGTGGGAAGGATAGAGCTGGTGTCCTGATTGCTACACATCTGCGTTTTCATCCCGACCTGTGGGCACTCTAGCCGGGCACTCTGTCTCAGGACCACGCCATTTCCAGACATTCCTGCTTTGCATGGATCTAACAAAACCTCTGCAAGTTTTCCTGGTGCTGTCACGTTCCTTTCCCTTCCCATTCTCTCCCTTTCCTCCTCTGCCCTCTAGAGGGAAACCGCCACTGATGTTTTGGAGGCAGGGGAAAAAAAAAAAAAAAAAAATCACAGAACAGCAACAAATCCTTCCTTTTTCTTTCCTGACACCTCCTTAGTAGCATCTCTGTGTAAGGACGTGGCAAATGAAATGTCGCTGCAGCCTACTGCATGGGAACACAGGTCCTGTCTCAGAGGGAGGTGCCAGCATCCTTCTACGTGCTGTGCTGACAGAGATCTGTAGCAATTCTCCCCCATGTTATTTAATCCCTCAGTATATATCAGATGGGAGATTTTTCATCCTGGTCACGAGCATCTTGCATTTTCCTTTGCTCAGATGAGGACTTATGTGACCAAAAAATGGGAGGTAAACCAGTTGCCAAGTATTACTTTAATGCAAAGAGGCAGTCAGGACAAATAAACGCACAGCAATGAGCAAATCATGGCTGGGAGATGGGTTTGATGTAAAACCTCTTCCAAGAGGTTATTATGAAACCCAAAATGGATAAAACCCACGTGGATAGCAGGGAGACGCTGTTCTCACCGAGCTGACAGGAGACCAGCTCACTGGGAATGAGGTTGCTTATAACCTACTTGCAAATGCTGATCTTGAGGCCAATGAACGTTACAAATGAAAAAAAAAAAAAAAAAGTAAAATCCTCACAAGAAGGATAAGAAATAAAAAGTGTTGAAGATGTCAAGCCAAAAGGCACTGTTAAGGGTGGGGAGGAGGACAAAATTTCCGAGGAAGAAGGTGACAACGCTGGGGACCAGAGTAATAGGAACAGGCTGCGACACAACAGCGCAATGTGCGAGATCAGGAACTTTCTCTTTCAACACTGAGCCCACTGCAGGTGAACAATAAAAGAAAATTAATAACCGGTTGTTTTGGTTAACCCCAGGCTGATTCCCATGCAGGCATGGGAAGCAATGCTGAAAGGGTTGAACGGGCTGATTTGTGGATGACGGGACACCAGATGTCAGGATGTCAGACGTACACAGTCCGGGATATGCCAGGAGACAAAGCGCCTGCACCGAAGAGACGCCCTTGTCGCACAGGGGCACAGCCATCCCCGAGGGATGTCCTGCCCCAGGAGCAACCTAGCCCTGTCAGAGTGAAAAAACCAAAGCCACACCACCACTGCAGCTACCCACGAGGCTGGCGCACGCCAACACAGAAACACAGCTCCCCTTCCTGGGTGAGAAGCATCCTCCGACGGCACAGCCAGGGGAAGGCAGAGGCTGTTCACAGCACATGGTCGAGGCACATCCACGGGCAGTGGCTTCCGTGGCTTACAAAGGCGGCGTTCCCGAAGCCATCTGGCCCCCCACACCACCCCGAGGGTTTTCTTTTGCAGGGTGCCCAACCGCGGTGGGACCTTGGAGCAGTCTGGGCTTTGCCGCTGGGGTGATGGACCCCAAAGCCCAGCTGAGTGGCTGAGGTTCTCTAAACCTAGGCACGTCCTTGTGGCAGCGGGAGAGCTGGCAGTCCTAATGAGGTGGGTCACGATTTGCCCACCAAGGACTGGCCGAATTCACCGGTTTGCTGTCACCAAATCTCCTACAGTGGCAGCGCTTATCGTGGGGGGTGTCTGCCATCCCTTGCTCCACATGCCTCACGGGAGGAACCCTGCGTCAGGCCGTTATGTAAATGTTTCCAATTGATTGAAAAAGTGGGTCATGTGTTAGCCAAATGCTCCTGGCTTTAAGATTTATCAGCATTATTAAATTAAACACGCTTCACGCTCCAGTGAGCGGGAAAGCTACATTGGCCTTTTCTTAATCATACTAGTGAAAGGTAAGTCTTTTATATGGGGGTTCATAACCTCAATGGAAGTGATGGGAACAATAGAGCCAAGGCATTTACCCTGGGCGCATGCCTCCCCCCGCAGCCCTCATTCCTCCCCGACAAAGGGCTGGGGAAAATTATCCCCCAAACGCCATTTTGAGCATTTCAGAGCATTCCCTGCCTGGAGAGAGACCCATCTCAGACCCTTCCTCTTCACCGATGTATTATGCCTCGTTCACAGCAGCTCTGAAATGGCTTCTTTGTCCATCTACTTGGAAGCCCTGAGGACATCATTACGTCGAGTCCCATGGATGGAGTAGATAACAGAGCCTAACTCCAACCCAGTGCAAAGCAGGTGCAGCCTCGCAGAGGTCAAAGACACAGCACTAGGAGACAGACGTGTCGAGTTTGGCCCCAAAATGGAAGTTGCACAGTGAGCCAAGCGAGGGTCTGCCAAGCATCATGCCTGGGCAGAGGACTGGAGCAGCATCCTTCCATGCACGGCCAACACGAGCAGCAGCCAAATGTCTTTGCGCTTCAATGAGGGGAGCTCTGCAGGGTGGGGAGCACAGTGCCCGGTGCTGCTGTGCCCCAAAACAGCCGGACAATGTTCTTCCAAAGGATGACCCCATTGCAAAATAAATAGGTCTTTTAAATGCAGCTACCTCTTGGGAGAGTGCTCAGAGGAGGCATCACCAGTACGCAGAGCAATCCAGTTCTTCCTTCTCCCTCAGTTCTGAGATTAAATACATTAACTCTGGGAAATTTCCTTAAACTATCAGAAATACATTAACTCTGGGAAATTTCCTTAAACTATCAGAAATTCCCTATGTCTGAAAAAGCAGCTCAGGCAGCAGTGACCAAAGAGAAAGCGGCGAAGAGGAAGTAAAATAGAAACCTAGAACAGCAGAAAGACTCCTTTTCCCCACACGCAAACTTACACACTGATTTTTCTCCTTTCCACTTTTTTAGAGGTTGGAGTGATTGCCTGAACTGGCGCTCTTGCATTTATGCTTGGTGATACCTCACAAATACCGACAATCTCTTAAAATTTGAGCAAAATCTTCTAATTAGGGGAATTCTGAACACGGTGTATTAAATTCATTTAATACCACGATCATCTCCCAGATGGGAGACAGCATGTGAAGCGTAACAGGGGGAGGGAGACCAAGCTCTGGGCTGGACTTTGTTCTCCAGCCTGGTTTCCAAACAGGAGCTGGAAAAGTGGATGCTGGGATTCCCGCAGTCCCCTCCAGATGGGCGATAGCAGCGGGCTCGGCCGAGCTCGGGCAGAGCTCTGCAGGGGCTGGGAGACATCACTGGCTCTGTGCTTGCTGAAGGCAGCCCTCCTCCTCGTCCTCTTCCTCCTCCTCCTCCTCCTCTCCCTCCACCCATGTAGCCACTTGGGCTCCCCAGGCACGTTAACCACACGCCAGCAAGTCCTGCGGCGCAGCTCCAGCAAACGCTGCCTACCCCTCCTCTGCAAATGCCCGGTGGACAGCCAAGGCATCTGCTGCCAGAACTGGGGGGCAGCTCCCCCGAGACAGCCCCTGCCGCCCCGGGATGAGGCAGCAGCAGCAGCCTGCATTTTGGATGAGGTGGCTGAGGCTCTCATTAACAAGCTCCACCACAAAACAGTTCCTCTTGCTTCGGCGCTAGCATTGCTACTGCCTGCAGACCCCAACTCCAGAGGGAGGGTCTCTTATCTGCACTAAAGACACCCTGGTGCCTCTGGGACATACAGTCTTGTCAGTAGACATGCGACACACAAGGTAGAGTTTATCGGGTAGCTCTTGTCATGGAATATTCTCATCAGCGTTACAGAGATCAAATTTCATTGCTTCATCTAGGTATTTGTTTTGGGGGACAACAATGTTTTGTTCAAGCTGTCCGAAAGCAAACAGAGAGGACAACTTGGTGCAAAAATGTCCCACAGGCATAACCCACCCCCTCCCTGAAAGGTTTGGATGGAAAGTTCGCAGGCACTGCCAAGCAAACGCGAAGAAGAAAGTCTCTGTCACACCCCTCTCCCATCACACGCCCTCCAGAAAATCACATGTTCTTGATAGGTTTGGATGGTGCAGGCTGGTAAACACCTACACCTTGGAGCCTTGTTCACCAAGAGCCCTTGCTGACCTGTGCAGGTAAAGAGCAGGGTGGCCAGGGCACTGGTCTGTAGAGGGATGCTGTGCCACCTGCCCAGAGGACCACCCCCAAGACCCTACCCTGAAGCATCTTGGCGGTTACTCAATGGTAATGCCTTCCTGAAAAACATCCAACACGCTTCCCAGGCTCTTCGGTGTTTCAGGAGCCCCACCAGCAGAAAGCCAGGTGTTAAAGACAACCACAAAGCTTCAGTGTCCTTCAGCACACTGCAACATGCTATGGCACGGCCAAGATTTCTAATATGGGTGTCAGACTTTCATGTTGGGGATTAACAT